GCGCCATTGTGCTCTGCTATGCTGATTGTCCACTCACAGCGCGTTCTGAGAGCTGTTTTTGGCGCCGTATGTGGAAAACATCCGAAGGTATGTTGTTAGAGAAAATATGTGCACCTAAAACAGCACATGAACACCCATGAAACTTAAGTTAGCGATTTGATCAACGATTTATTCAACAACGAGTTCCGATTTCTCTGAAAGCAGGTCTCCAGGTCAAGTATGGCACGAAAGCATTGAAATTTACCTTTATCTTGCAATATCGTGTGACCTTCGAGGTCAAACGCGGGCTCAAAGGCCAGGAAACTCAATACCACCCAAAAATTACCGGTCAATATTAAACTTGAAAATATCAGAACATTCGTCACAGTAAGAAATAGTGTGCGTCAACAGTCCACACCTCTCAAGATCATCAGAGGACAAACGTGGCCTAAAGAAACGGGTATCTCAAAATCACCCAAAAATTGCCCGCCTATTTTAAACTTGAAAATGTCAAAATAATCAACACAGAGAGAACTCGCATCCGTCACAAAGTCCTGATCTCTCAAGATCATCTTTCAAGGCCAACATGACTCAAAGGACGGGGAACTCAATATCACCCAAAAATTACTGGCGGATTTTAAACTTGCAAATGTCAGAATAATCACCACAGAAATGACTAGCGACCACCAAAAAGTCCTGACCTCTCAAGGTCACCCTTTAAGGTCAGACGTGGGCTCAAAGAACGGGAAGCTAAACATCATCCAAAAGTTAAGGGGCGATTTAAAACTTTCAAATATCAGAATATTCGGTGTAGAAAGAACTAGCGTCTGTTAAAAAACCGATGTCTCAGGGTCACCCTTTGAGGTTAAACGCGGGCTCAACAAACGGGAACTACTTGACGGGCGCTAGTTCTTTCTGTGGTGAATGTTCTTATGTTTGCAAGCATAAAATCGGCCGGTAATTTTTTGGTGATATTGAGTTTCCCGTCCTTTGAGCCTGCGTTTGACCTTGAATGGCGACCTTGAAAGGTCAGGACATTTTGGCGGACGCTAGTTCTTGCGCCCGAGAATGTTTTGATGCTTGCAGTTTTCAAATCGGCCGGTAATTTTGGGGGTTATCAGTCCCCCGTCCTTTGAGCCCGCGTTTGGACTTAAATGGTGACCTTGAAAGGTCAGGATCTTTTGACGGATGCTAGTTCTTTCTTTGGTGAATATTTTGACATTTTCGAGTTTAAATCAGCCGGTAATTTTTGGGTGATATGGAGTTCCCCATCTTTTGAGCCAGCGTTTAGTCTTGAAGGGTGACACTGAGAGATCAGGACTTTTTGACGGACGCTAGCTACTGCGCTTGTGAATATTTTGATGCTTGCGGTTTTTAAATCGGCGGGTTATTGTTTGGGTGACAGCGAGTTCCCGTCTTTTGACCCAGCTTTTGACCTCGAAGGCCACATGACATTAGAAAATAAAAGTCATTTTCGATGTTCTCCTGCCATGATTGACCCTGAGACCTTTTATCAGATGACCTCTGAAGGTCATTCTTCAAGATCAAATTCAGGCTCAAGGAGACAAAGAACTCCAATCACCAGCAAGTCACTGGCCAATCCCTTAACTTGCAAGCATCACAATATTTGCAAGCACAAGAACTTGTGATATGGAATTCCCCGTCCTTTGGGCTCACGTTAGATCTTGAAAAGTAACTTTGATAGGTCAGGACTGTTTGACAGTCGCTTGCCATTTATGTGTTGCATATTCTTGTGCTGGCAAGTTCAAAATCGGCGGTAATTTTTTGGTTTCCCGTCCATTGAGCCTGAATATGACCTTGGAGGATGACCTTTCGGAGGACAAGGCTTTTTGACGGGCGCTAGTTATTGCGCTTGTGAATATTTTGATGCTTGCAAGGTCCCATCCCTGTACCCAGCTTTTGATCCCGCAGGTCACAAGACATTGAAGAATAAACGTCATTTTTGACGTTCTCGTGCCATAAATTTGAACTGGAGACTTTTTCAGAGAAATCGGAAAGTCTTCCCCTGAGTAATTCTCTTGAATAGAATCGCCAGCTTCACAGACATGACTCAGGCGCCGTTATGCTGACTGCACACTTTCAACCCGTATTCAAAAAACCTAAAGCCTGGCAGCACATGGGGACAAAATCACTAATGCGGGCGCCATATATTTCTTTTTGGGCATTTAGAGGGCTCAGACGTTCTTGTCAAAATACTCTCTCTGGGCATTCCAGGCCCAGATATTTTTCAGATTTATTCATTTTGGATATTCTAACCGCTGTAATAGTTTATTGATTCTAGATTACTCAAGTAAGAGTTTTCCTTCCACAAAAGTACGGGTGCAGCGCCATTTCAGCCGCCCATGTATCACATTTGCTGCCGTGATATAAGCTTAAGAACATGTGTGCCAGGCTAATCCCAGAGGCTAGTCGCGCCTCTTTGATGGCGTAGCCAGGATTTGGCCCAGGGAAGGGCCAAATCGGGTCACAAGGGTTCCTCCAGTCAAGAGACTCCTGATCACTTCGTCGCTCTGTTGTCTGGCAAGCGTCTTTCTCCGAGAGTCTTGACATCCGAACAACTCTCTCCTAACGTCTAGAAGTTATAAGCAACCTCCGGTGGACTAACATGCAGAGAAGCAAGGCCATGGTTCGTCTATCCGAGAAAAAGCTTTTGCATCAGGATTCTATTTTGATAACTCGGGCCTTTTATACTTCAGAAGCCCGGTGGGCGTCTTGAATTGACAAAATTCAGCTGAGGGGCCCCGCGACCTCCAGGAGGAGGGAAAGGGGAGGCATGGCTTCACCCCCTCCCCCGCCCACCCGCCCGTCCCCTCACTGGGTACGCCACTGTGCCTCTTCAAGTTTAGAGCACAAAATTCACTTGAAGGCCCTCCGGAATCAATACGAGCGTGGGTAGCAGTGTAAAAGGGTAGATGCAACAACCATTCAAAAATGGAGATGGTAAAATATGGGTGGTCGCAGGAAACTCAGTCTCTTGGACGGGACTATCTTAGACATCGGACCCTCTCTGGAAGATTTTCAGGCTGTGCGCATGCTTCGATCATGGAAAACTCGATGTATTCTCTTTGCTGGTTTGTTTTTCTGCCAAACATCTGAGCAGCGATGCCGAAGGGGCGTTAGGCCATCTGAAAATGATTGCATTGGAACAAATCCCATCGCATGCAGAATGATATGCCCTTTGTCAGAACACGTTGAACTACGTTACCACATACAGCGCCAAAGCTAGGTGCCCAAGATTTCAGGACCCTTTAAACTAACTTTACAGCGCCATTGCGCCGTATGATGAATTTCCAGTCTCATTATGTCCATCTACGGCGCCAAAAAGCGCTAAATCCACCAGGTTTCTGGGGATGGGATTTTCTTTCTTTGAAGCGGTTTGCAGACCATAGTGGTGCTTGGATTTCAAATAAATCAACATGATAGTAATTCTGTATATGTGTCTCACCAAATCCATACACATCTCTCGCAAGAATATACTGCCTTTGTTTTGAAAAAGCGCAAGTTGCCGGTACCAATGTCACCATCTGGGGAGCTAAAATTCAGTTCGTTTCCTTTCTTGTCACTCCATTGATCTCTTTTGGCGCCCGATGGTGAAATCCACGTTACAGGCAGACAATGACTAGCCCGTGGCTATTCCTGATGTCTGCTGGTAACGTTGACTGTCTAGCCAAAGCCTTGTTGTTAAAGTACAGGACGCTAATAGTTCAATGATAGTTGACACTGCTTTTCTTTCGCGAGGTGTGATGCCCTTATCTATCTGGTTTCTGTCAACCTGTTTCTAGCCTGAATGCCCTTCAAACCGTCCGAACTGTCTCCGATATCATTTGTGATTTACTGAGATTATTCGGCAGCATCAACATCCCTGATAAAGCAAGAAAGGCACAGTTAATGACGTCGTTGGCGTCCTTGCTAGTCTCCCAGGTTCGAACTCTGGCATTAGTCATAACCTTCTGCTGCAAGCATGAGCAACATACGTCGCGCGTACGTGCACACGTTCTTGCGTACGTGTGCGTATGCAAGCGTGAGCAACGTATACTCTGGTGTTTTGTAAAGACGACTTACAGCCAGCCGTACGCCGCAAGAGGTCAGCCATGCGGTATTGTGTGACCCGTTGTTATATATCGGGAGGCTCCGTCCGCCGTGCTGACATCCAGCGGAAGCCCCATGAAAGCATTCCGCCCTCCATGAAATGATCCTGGTCAGGGGCGAGGCTTTGCAACATCTGGTGCGGGGGAAGGTGAGCCAATGAAGACGACCTAATCTACCATCAATCGTGATTCATCATCGGATTTCAGACACTTATGTTTGTGTCCCAGACGTCAAATTTAGAATACAAAACAAGTTAGTCGGTTTCAAAATCGTTTTGATGTTGAGGAATGGCTTCCAACTTGAGCCCGATGTCGCAGTGATGACATATGATGATTGATGGTGCTGCGTTGATGGTACCTAGGGTACCATCAGTCCAGACAGTTGCAGCATTTCCTTGGCCCAGTATTTCTTTTTTACTCATATACATTGGGGAGGGTGTTCAGATGAGCATTTAGGGAGCTTAAGTTAGCATTGGGGACTCAGCCGCCCACACAAAACTATACAAAGTGACCCGCCTGGTCTTGGTGCCTTGCGTAGCGACATTAGCTACTTAACGGGAGGGAAGAGCTACAGCAAAGAACCCAAAACTGAAAAATTATGGCATGAAACCGCCACGAAAAGAGTGTATATTCCAATTGCTCGTCGCTGAAGTTTTTGGGCACGCATTGACAGCGTGTATGTGATTCAAAACGGAGGTTCTTCCGTGGAGTAATGGCAAATCCTTCAGTCCATAAAAAGAACATTATGCCTGGTTTCTCTGCCAAGTTGCACGAAAATGCATCGGCTCAGCATGTTTCGGAGGAAAACATGAGCGGTCCAAATACACTGGGCGTTCAGGCTCACACTCACAGCGCACTCCGCTGCGCGGCAAGACACTCACAGCGCACTCCGCTGCGCGGCAGGGCACTCACAGTGCACGTCGAGGAATGCGGAGGCGCGCTGTGGCACGCCGATGCCGTTGGAGGCCTGGCAGGTGAAGCGGCCGGTGTCCTCGGCCGCCAGCGGGTCGATGACTAGCGAGCCGTTCTGCAGCACGCGCGCCCGGCCGTCCAGCGCCGCCACGCGCCCCACCGGCTGGCCGTCGCGCAGCCAGAGCACCGTCACGTTGTCCGGCCGGGCTCGCGTCCGGCAGTTGAGCACGGCCGGCAGGGACGCCTTGCTCGTTTGGTTGGCGGGCCCGGCCACGATCACAGCGCCACCTGTTGCCGGGAAAGATGGTCAGAGTGTTGGCCAGCCGCCGCTGGGGCCTGAGTTCGCCCGCCCGCAGCGCTAGGCGAAGCAGAGCACGCTGGCTCTGTGTGACAGATGGCTGTCGACAAGTCAAGGCGCGACGTGCACTCACGACGGGCCTCCTGTGCTCCAAGGATGTCTGCCGTTGCCACAAACCATGGCTGCCGACTGTACTCTATCGTCGGCGTCGGATGGCTCTCGGAGCCAGCAGTCACCACAGGCGGCGGGCGTATTTGTGTTTGTGGGGAGCGGCCTAGCCATTCCGTGGTACGGAGCAGATGTGTTCTCCGGAACTCTCAGTTAGGCTTCAAGGTTGCACATAGTTCATATAGAAACATTTCAACTTGATTCCTCTTATTGAACGGTAGCTTCCGAGATAACCGCTACCACTTCATCACCCATGACCAGACAATGGATGGCCAAGTCTGGGGAAGAGGTAGGAATCATCCCTTCATCTTTTTCCAATCAAGTCTGTTGCTTTGTTTATCCCCTCAGCTGGTAGCCATGGTTTGTGGCTGACGCTGCGTACCAGCACGATTTTTATGCCGGCAGAGTGACCAGACGCTGGTAGGTACATTGCTGAACACGACGAATACACATGTCCGTGACTTACGGAAGATCTGCCTACGATACAAGGCAAGTAAAGAAAGAGCATCCCAACGATTCCAGACGTCTAGCAAGCAAACTGTGTTGCCACCATAGTGTTACTAGTAGCGGTGTAGCCAGGGAGTCCCACAGGTCACCTTACGTGACGCTGTGAAACGGTTAAATGACAGCGATCGTATTTTGTAGCCTTCAGTGGTCACTTTTAACTTTTTCATCACCTTTTTCTGCATCATATTGACCCGAACTGTTCTGTGCCACCATTCTCCAATACGTTAGTTTCCAGAAAAACTTTGTTGTCACCCGGCATAACAGATGGCACTGTCACCGTTATCGCGACCTTTCATTAGTCTTGCGTCCTATCAATGACCTCACATTAACATAAGTGTCACCTCTTATGATCGATTTTACCCATCTTTGATCAGCTCAAAAAATCGTTCAAAGAATATTCAGTAGGTCAACCGGGCGCGTATTAACACGCACTCGGGTGGGGAGGGGGGTTAACTTGACCTCCCAAAAAGCTTTCCAGAATGGTTTCCGAATGGCGCGGCTACGCCGCGCCAAGTCCAAACCCAATCAATTATGCATAGCTGTGGACATTTGAATGACGGATCGTTTGATATAAAAATTTAGATGTACCCTGAAGGTGTCTGGCCTATGACAGGTCAAAGTTAGGTCATGGCTTCAGCGAACGCAATTTCTAGGAAATCGTCCAATCTGATGCAATAACGGAAAGTTTGACGAAGCCATACATCTATGAGATGCTTTCTTAGGCACCACAAATCTTGAATGAGCAGATTACGTTGACCTAAGGTCAAGTATGAAACTCAGACCAAGGTCAAAATCAACCTGATTTATTACTCTAGGGTTTGATGTATGCGATAGTTTATGCTGCACCTTTCTAATTTATTGACAGCAGAAACCGCATTATACATCTTCCATTGACTTCATAGAGGTCAGAACAGGTCATGTACCTAAGATGACCCGGGTCGACATGTTGTTTTTTTAACATGCTGCCTAGCGCAATCTTTGTCGCTTATTCAAATGCGAAACTTAGATCAGTCCTGAGTGGTTTTGGTCACCGTGACCTTCAAAAGGTCAAAAAAGGTCACTGTCATCAAATGGGCTTGTGAACTTTTGCTTAGAAACAGTTGCCTAGGTTCTGGGGGCAACTTAAGAGCCCAATCTGGAATTTGACCTTGTTTGACCTTATTTGACCTGAAGGTCATGATCTAGGAAGCTCAAACGTTGACACAAGTGAGTTCACGTACAGGTCAAGACACCCTGCAAATTTGGTGTCTCTAGCTCTTTTAGTTCCCGAAATCTCAAGGGAGAGTCAAACTGACCCCCCTCCACCCGAGCGAAGGGTATCAATCCGGTCACCCGAGCGCGTGTTAACTTACGTTTCCTTTTAGCATAGCTTGAACTTCCATTCATATTAAGTTCACTAATAAACAATGCTGGTTAAAACTTTGAAATTGTGCTGGCGGAAGTCTTTTGTTGAAACTGCAGTGAGGTCTACAGAGAGCCGTGCAAGATGATGGATTCCTTGCGTTACTGGGGGAATGAAATCTGATAAACTATATGATTGCTGAAAAAAACGGCCATGAAAAGCGGTTTCCGTGAAGCAAAACTGATTGCGCATCCTAACAGCCGAACCAACATATGACGGTTTCGAGGCAATTCAAATTTGACTGTGGTTGAACACACACAAACACACAACACACACACACACACACACACACACACACACACACACACACACACACACACAACACACACACACACACACACACACACAACACACACACACACACACACACACACACACACACACACACACACACACACACACACACACACACACACACACACACACAACACACCACACACACACACACACACACACACACATACACACATACTATATATATATATATATATATATATATAATATATATATATATACATATATGTATATATATATATATATATGTATATATATATATATATATATTATATATCCGTGTTTATTTTAGTTTGACCTTGCTGGACCTTGCCTGACCCAAAGGTCATGCCTAGGAACCTCAAATTTTTACAATAGTAAGTTCACATGCAGGTGAAACCACTTCGCACATTTGGTACCTCTAGCTCTCTTAGTTTTTTTAGATTTCAGGCGGTCAAATTGACGCCTACCCGATCAAAGGACATTCAAGAGGTCGCCCCGGGCGCGTGTTAACTCACGCTTCCTATTAGCTTAATTTGAGCTTACATTCATGCTAAGTTCACTCTAATCTATATATTGTGGCGACTTAACTTTAACTTACAATTCGCGTTAACTTAGCTAAACTTTCGTTTCGTATCAAATCAGCTTTGACTTAAATTACGACTTACACTTTGACATGGTGCTAGCGCGTTGTTCTAACTGCCGCCTGAGACAGGGTGTGTATGTGAGAGGTCCATTATCATGTGTTCATAGGTGCCGAACAAGTATAGCAAGTAGCTGTTCCGATTTCAGGCGTTGTTTCGGCGCAGTTCCAGCCTACGGCGTTGTATCGTCGTCAGAGATAATTTGGCGCACATGTAACTAAGACACTGCGCTGGCCCACTGACGTACCTGCCATGATAATCTTGGACGTCCAGCGAACGCTGCCTTCGCTGTTGGTGGCACGACACGTATACTGTCCTATGTCTTCCTCGCCTATCCTGTGTATCCGGAGCTCGTTGCCCTCCTCGCTGAGCCTGGTGGTCTCTGACGGTCGCACCGGCTTGTCACCCTGCAGACGGCCGGGGCAGGTGTCAGCGCCAGCTGCTCAGGAGCAGCACCCGCGGCTGATGATGCGGGTCTTAAATGTTCCGCGGACGTTTCCAAGAACAATACAATCTGATTTTCGGTGTTATTCATTTCCGTTTTCAGAAAGAGCACGGAAACGTTAAGCGCCTCACGGGATAACGCACAAGTTCATGTGTCTAACATACCTACCCTAAGCAAGTACGGAGGCGTGATTTCGCATGTATGTGAAAGTACAGGAAGAATACACGCCTTGATTAGTTTGGAATCTTAACTGCATGCACGTGTGCAGATGGGTTTCCTGTACATCACTGATATCATCATCCATTTGGATGACGCATAGCCTACGGCTGGCTGCTGTATGTCCCCATTGCGACAGCTGGCGCGGGATCAGGCTCGCGCCTGGTTGGCTGCGATGAGAGCCTGACCTTGAGCCACGTGACCACAGGCTGGGGCGTGCCGCGGGACTCGCAGGTCAAGGTCACCGAGTCACCGATGTTCACGAACACATCCCGAGCTGGGGTCTGTACCAGCCGCGGTGGTGCTGAAAACAGGCCGAATAAAGTAGCACGAAAATGACAGTATCGGCACGAGGGTCAGTAACTCCAAGGTTAGGCAAAGCATCAACATTCTGCGGTTATTATGAACATCGGACGATGACATTTTATTTAAGGCATATGAGCCATTGCTTAAAATGATACGTTGCTTAAATGGTTTGATAATATATCTACATAAATATGGTCGAAATAAAGGCATTCTTCGTTGGTCACTTGATTTCTTAAAAATCTAAACTTCCGTTGGGTGAGAAGTTGTGATCGTGTCGTGCGAAGGTCGATGCTGTCGAAGGTCGATGCTGTCGTGCTGGGCGCAAACTGCTGCGGTCGTGGAAGGTCATTCAATGCAATTAAGAAGACAGTGAAGATGACTCGACTGACGAAAACTTTACAGTCCGGTTGTCACCAGCCCTGGCCGATTGGCCTCGGAGCGTCCGTGGCCGGGGAGCCACCCGTCCCAACGGCTGTCACCAGCCGTGGCCGATTGGCCTCGGAGCGTCCGTGGCCGGGGAGTCACCCGTCCCACCGGCTGTCACCAGCCGTGGCCGATTGGCCTCGGAGCGTCCGTGGCCGGGGAGTCACCCGTCCCACCGGTTGTCACCAGCCGTGGCCGATTGGCCTCGGAGTGTCCGTGGCCGGCGAGCCACCCGTCCCACCGGCTGTCACCAGCCGTGGCCGATTGGCCTCGGAACGTCCGTGGCCGGGGGGTCACCCGTCCCAGCTGAAGCCCGTGTCTGGGCTCCACCCGAGAGTGGAGAGCAACTCCCCAGCTGGACTTCAGCCCGAATAAAGATATCAACTAGGTCTCCCAGGTGGGAGGAGTAGTCGGAGAATGATAGACGCTAGCCTCAGTGCTGCCGCTTCGCTGTCGTTTTTTGAGCGCTAGGTGTCTGCGACGATCACCGCGATGTCACTGCTACCACGTAAATCGTACTTCGTGCTAATCCCACAACGCACTGATGGTGCACGCCGAGCTCACGCCAAGCACATCCAGGTGAACTTGATTCTCTGCTGTTGTAGAAACGTCTGGGTGCAGCCCTTCCTTGCCGCACGAGTTCATGCGCACTGCTGACCCGTTTCTCACGGTGCACAGCCAATTTGAGCTCGTTCTCTCCGCACACGTCTAGGCCGGATCCAGTTGTTTAGCATGCGCGTCCAAAGACGCTTCACCGCTCACGCCTCGACTTTTCACACTATCTTAGTTAGCTCAGACAGTCTGTTCTCACCGTGCACGCCCAGGTGGACCCAGGTGTCTACTCTACCTGTCCAGCCTTACTCTACCTTGCTTAGTCCAGATAGAAGCCGTTCTCACCATACGCGCCCAGGTGGACCCAGGCGTCTACTGTACACGTTCAATTTCACACTATCTTTGTTAGCCCAGACGGTCTGGTCTTACCGTGCACGTCCAGGTGGACCCAGGTGTCTACTCTACCTGTCCAGTCTTACTCTATCTTGCTTCGTACAGACAGAGTCCGTTCTCACCGTGCACGTCCAGGTGGACCCAGGCGTCTACTGTACACGTCCGATTCCACACTGCCTTAGTTAGCCCAGACAGTCTGTTCTCACCGTGCACGTCCGGGTGGACCCAGGTGTGTACTCTACCTGTCCAGCCTTACTCTATCTTATCTAGTCCAGAGACCGTTCTCACCGTGCACATCCAGGTGGACCCAGGTGTGTATTCTACCTGCCCAGCCTTACTCTATCTTATCTAGTCCAGAGGCCGTTCTCACTGTGCACGTCCAGGTGGACCCAGGCGTCTACTGTACACGTCCAGTCTCACTCCATCTTATCTAGTCCAGACAGAGTCCGTTCTCACTGTGCACGTCCGGGTGGACCCAGGTGTGTACTCTACCTGTCCAGTCTTTCTCCATCTTATCTAGTCCAGACAGAGTCCGTTCTCACCGCGCACGTCCAGGTGGACCCAGGCGTCTACTGTACACGTCCAATCTCACTCCATCTTATCTAGTCCAGGCAGAGTCCGTTCTCACCGTGCACATCCAGGTGGACCCAGGTGCCGTTGCCGAGCACGGCTGGCTTCCGATTGAGGAAGTGGACAACGCACTCGTACCAGCCGTCGTCCGCCTCTGTGATGTTGGTCATGTTGAGCGAGGCCAGTCCGTGTCGGGTGTTGCGCACGTCCATGCGGCTCACGCGGCCGGCGTAGCTGTCGGCCACGTGCGGCGGGTAGCCGTCGTACCACATGTAGAGCGGCTGCTGCAGACCCTGTCTCGGCGGGCACGAGGGAGGCTGCCGTCAGCAGGAGCGCCAGACGCGCTCTAGCGGGAGCTCCGCCGCGGGCAGTTCAGTTAAGCGCAGTAGCCTAACGCTACCGGCCGTGACAGCCGGGGCACAATAAGTAAACCTGGTACCCACGAGAGGTTGCACCACCAGGGGCAGGGCAGAGGGCAGGCCACACAGCGCCGCTTTTTAAACGATATATGTATATATATATATATATATATATATATATATATATATATATATATATATATATATATATATATATATATATATATATATATATATATATATATATATATATATATATATATACATGTTGTGTTCCATGAAACTTCAGATGCCGCCACCATGCTGACGGAAGGCCTCCAATGACGGAGACGGAGCATTTCATCTAACACAAAAGTGAAAACAATAACTGTCCCTATACTAGAAAGCCAGCGCCGAGTTGTTATGAAAGGAAAATCCGTTATATGCAATGCAAAGGAGGCCCATGAAAAACAAAGGAAGCCCGAGAAGAGACCAACAAATTCTAAGGACCTGAGGTCCCACTATGCTAGAGGATATTTTGTAAGATGAATAAAGCAGCCTCATTCCCAATCCGTGCTGTGTAATCGCCTGATCCAATCCATAACATAAAAAGGTAGCAATTAGATAAGACAAGAGGTCAGGTATGACGTAAGATAGAAAGAGTAGATTAAGAGTTGGGAGGTGTAAGAGGTATGCGGTCTAGGAGATAAGGGGCAAGAGATACCAATAGGTCTCTTTGAAAAAGAACAATTGGGCAAAATCCGAGACAATCTATTACACCTAGTTCGGTATGGAGATCCCCAGATTTGCTGTGCTTGTCCCCTATGAAAATGACAGTCACTTCCCCTGGTACCCGCTTTTAACAAGACGCGTAATTTTCACCATGCCACGTTTGCTTCATAGTAGATGCATATGCTTCACATTTAACATAAACGAGTATTCTTGAGCTCCGGGCTTTTCGTAATAATAAATTGGGAGCCTTTATACTTAACAATTACTAGTTATGTACGTGTACTTAAGCAAGGCTGCTGTCTGTAGCAAAAATGCAAAGTCTATACCAAATAGCTTTCAGAGGCATTTTGAAACCATGCCCAACAAACGCTATTTTGCAATTATCCGAGCTTATAAGAGGCTGTATCAAATATCACTGGCTCGGACAAGCCACATGCAGTCCGAGAGAAAACCCACCAGAATCATACTATAAATAAACTCATCATTCCATTAGCTAGCCTTCTGGCTGGTGATGTTTACCATTTCGTGGCAATGATTTAGCGAAGCACGCAGCAGCCCCTTCTCCGCCCATTCAAGGTTTGTTTTGCATACCTCCGTCACTGTGAGTTTATAACTTCTCAGCAGACCACGCATGACCTCATACAGTGTCATATATCACGCCCATTGGTCAATATCATGAGGCACTGCGGTGACGCCGTGTTTGTTTTAACGCTCGGTGTTTGGAGATATTCCTTGCCGGTAATGATGTCGAATAAATTTGAGAACAAAAATGGTTCAGACACGATCCATGGGACGTTTGTCGCAACACTCGTCAGAATTGGCAGATGTGCCTCCCGTACACTTCATTGCATCACGATTCATTCGGGCTGTCTCAGTTTCAAAGTGTTTACAGCTGATCCAAAATTTTGGGAGCCAGCTAGCATGGCCAGATCCCTGACAAATGACCTTGCTCTTGAGAATCCCAGCGGAGAGAACATCACCTATCGGCGTGTTGTGTTGGATTCTGTGTCCGCTTATCAGATCCTCTTCCCGAGTGACTCGTCAGGAGTGAGGTGATCATGCCATGACTTATGGTGTCACCACTGCTTGTGATTTTTTCTGATGGGCTTAAGCTCCAAGGGCAACTTAGATGGAAGTTCGAAAACGACGTCGAATCAGCCCTGAAGCGAGTCATATCATGATATAAAGTTGTTTGCACGCAATGGTAGTGTCAGGGTCACTCAAATCATGTCCTGTTGTCTTCAAAATCGACGAAGTTGTCAGCAATCGTCGTACAGTGTACTGATGTCGTATTTGTCCATCACTGTTGTAGAATCAACGTAGAGGTCATGTCAGGCCAAGTTCACCTCAGGTCAGATATTACAAACTACCCAAGTTAATGTTGTAAATATTCCACAGTGTGCTAACATTGACGTAGTACATGGAGACCGTAAGTACAGTGGTAATGCAAAGTCACAGCCGTGTAAGCTAATGGAATGGCTTCAGCCTGACCTCGTATTACATATTGCTTGGTCAGATGAAGATCACTTACGAGACATGCTTTGTCTTGCGGTCAGCTTTACTGTGTCATGTCTACAGGCAGCAAAAATGTAGCCTGTCCGCTTTTGACCGAGCTTCACAGGTTAACCGGTGTGCGTGTCGTAACATGACGTCAGTAAGTGTTCGAATCACGTGCGGGAATATCGGAAACGTCCATGTATGCTATGGGATATCGGAACGTTCCATGGTATGCTATGGATATCGGAACGTTCCATGTATGCTGGGATATCGGAGCGCTTTCGTATATGCTATGGATATCGGAACGTTCCATGTATGCTGGGATATCGGAGCGCTTTCATGTATGCTGTGGACATCGGAGCGTTCCATGTATGCTATGGATATCGGAACGTTCCATGTATGCTGTGGATATCGGAATGTTCCATGTATGCTGGGATATCGGAGCGTTTTCACGCATGCTTGGGCGCTACGGATGCGGAATGAACAGTGGTCGTAAGGGCCGTTCTGCGCTGGCGAAGGCGGTGACGTGTCTCATGCTGGCTGGGTTTACATGGCCACGTCACATACATTTCTGTGACGTGCATACTCACCACAATATCAAAAAGTCGATGTTGTAAGTGATTCTAAGTTGGTACAGTCATGTGCAATGTAAGGCATGGCAAGTATGAAAAGGGAATTAAGATGACTTCTTTTCGATGATTATATGCGTAAAAATGCAAAAATGTGACTTAATTAACGAATATCGCGCATATAATTGCTGTATAGAGGTAATGTTAACTTCCTTTTGATATCGTAAGTGTATGACAACCCACGCTTCATAGAAAGTTAGTCCTATTCATTGCAAGTCTGTGATTTCTAAGATGCAATTAACCCACTTCGATTCCTTCCCATTGCAACCAGAGCCTGCTAGTAAGAGCCCGACAGGCTTTGACGACTGCTGGAAGCCTAAATCTGCTGACTCGGTCGGGTCCGAGAGCGGGCGTTGCCATTGGTCGGTGGCCGACGTCTGACGTCATCCCGAGCCGCTCGTCCGCGCCACGGCTCATTTGGAGCCGTATCCCGGCCCGTGATAAAACGGCCCGTCAGCGGCGGCTCGGCGGGGGGTGGGCCGCGCCAAACTCGCCTCCTTCCTCCACTGGATGACGTAGGGCACGTGCGCGCCGGCGGGGAAAGACGAGCGGACAGTCGAGCACCACGTCCCGCCGACCAGGGCGGGCGGTCACGTGACGACCGCGCGGCGTCTCCAGACCTGCCGACACGGCCGGCGCGGACGTCAGCGGGAGCGCGGCTTCAGCTGCCAGTCACGGACGCCGAGAACATAGCATTATGAACAGGACAACCGAGAACAGCTATGCAGACACTGTGCGGGCGGCATCACGTCCGTTGGCACCGTTTTATTCGCATCATTGGAAAATGAGCACCATTCTGGGGCGACCTCTTTCGGCGCTATAGCGCTTCCTCACCAAGTCATTTTCCAACTTTGCTCGACCTCGCTGGAGCAGTTGCTGGCATGAGTAATGGGGAGGGGGACGGAAGACATAACAGAGCGGCCTCCATTGGACAACTGGCGGCAGACTTCCGTGCCAGAACACCAACGACAAAGCCGCTGGAGAAAAAGCTAAATTGGGAAAGTTTTATCAGTGACGATTATTTTGATTTCGCGGAAATACGCCATCATGGCCACTTTTATGGTCGCTGGAATGAAGCACGAAGCAAAAGTGAGGATGAGCAGCGGACAAACGATAGTGACGCAGCTAAGTTACATGCGTGATGTAAACGGCAATGTCCCTTGCAAACAGGAACGTAGCCAAATGGCGGGGAGTGGGTAGGGACGGAAGTCTTGCGAGTCCCGATCGAGAAGATTTTACACCAGATATTTGATAATGCGCATAAACTCGGTCCAAGATTTGCGGAGGTAGAGATTTTTGCTTTGCTTCTGAGAGGGCAAATTCTGGGGAGAAAAAATTCTGGAAAATAATATATGTGTATATGCATATATGCATATATATATTTATTTATATATATATATATTATATATATATATATATATATAAATATGTATATATATATTATATATGTGTGTGTGCGTGTGTGCGTGTGTGTGTGTGTGTGTGTGTGTGTGTGTGTGTGTGTGTGTGTGTGTGTGTGTGTGTTGTGTGTGTGTGTGTGTGTGTGTGTGTGTGTGTGTGTGTGTGCGTATATATGCCCACATAAGCATACATATGGCATATATATACATATCATTAGATAGGCACTAGACTAAATAAGAATGCTGGAGAGCGAAAAGTTCCTTTTGTTATAAGGAGGCGGCAATTTGTTTTGAACTTGAATCCCTTAAACCTAGAATTCGTTGAGGCAGGGAATCCGAAGTGCGGGTGGTGTACTACCGATGTGTGAATTGTATGCACATATATGAGCGATATATTAAAGAGAGAAGAGAGAGAGAAAGAGAGAGAGAAAGAGAAGAGAGAGAGAGAGAGGGAGAGAGAGAGAGAGAGAGAGATGAGAGAGAGAGAGAGAGGAGAGAGAGGGAGAGGGAGGAGAAGGAGAGAGAGAGAGAAGACGAGAGAGAGAGAGAGAGAGAGAGAGAGAGAGAGAGGAAGAGAGGAGAGGAGAGAGAGAGAGGGAGAGAGAGAGAGAAGAGAGAGAGACGAATGTGAGCATGAAGCGAGGTTTGTATAGAGAAAAATAACAAAATCGGGAGGCGGCACTTGTTTTAAACGTGAGCAGCTGAAACGTACAACATTCCTGTAGATCATGTTCAAAGGGGCTGTGACTCCAAACGTTGGGTTATATCAGTGGGAACTATAAGTTGAAGTGCCTATGTTGAGTTAACAGCTTCAATATACCAGATGGCACTGGCTTAATAGCATCGCGTAATGCTAACAATGATGAGATTGATGGTAATTTCTTCGACCTGTTGTCATCCTTAAGATTTGCACGCTGAAAAGTCTTCGGTAGCTTTTTGTCCTGTAAAGGTCAAGCAGCAGTACCCTGGGTTGCCCCACACTGAACACACCGCACAACACACCGCACAACACACCGCACAAAAACTTGTCGATGCCATTCCTCGACACCCCCTGGTTACCCCACGCTGGAACACGCCGCACAAAACTTGTCGAACCATTCCTCGACACCCTTTTGTGGTGCAACTTGGTGGTAGCTTTACCATATAACTCTATTTTAAGTTCATGGCCGTTTCTATCACACACATTATAATTCAGCACACCCCATGAGTACTAAGAAAGCGACTGCTTCATCACAAACCCGGAAGGCGGTGCGGCCAACTTCTGGGTGAGATCTGCTGCTTGTGCCGCACGTTCTCGATTTAACATGACAACAGGTTTGCGTAGAAGCTGTAAAAGGGCGGACCAACTGCATGTGTTCAAATGAATCTCCCTTTTACAGACGACGAGCCGTAAAAACCAGCAAATGCCGTCTTACGATCGAGTGGTATGCACGGCCCAGCGACGGAGTGCTCGTTACCCCACTGTGTTCATCTGTTGGAAGGTTCGTCATACATGTGTGAATGGACTGAAGGGGTGATGTTCGCAGAAGAATATAGTGTGCAAAATAGCATGCAACCCTTGTCCAGGAATTTTTATGTAAACAACATAAAAACACTCGTATATCTGGTTGTTATTGGCTGTCTATGAGTGACTGGTTCCATGAGCACCTCGGAAACGCACGTTTACAGAAAGCGTACACATCACAGGGAGAGAAGAGCACTTGTCACTCCTGAGGATATATATAGCTGGAAATGGTGAGTGCCGTCAATATGGTAATTAGTTAGCATTAAAAGATATATTGAGGCTTTGCAAAGCTTGAAATATTGAGCACCATCAGAATAATCGAAATCTGGCATTACAACGTCGCTTAACCAGTATCTCCTGATATACTGAATTTCGCTAACTCAGTATAGGAATTTTAAACTTATACTGCCGAAAAACTAGAACCTGAAGGCCTTTCTTTCTTTAATCAAGCTACCTGAGCCGGTCGTATATCTGTCTAAAGGATATGGCAAAATGAGCCATCTTTCGAATGAAAAATAGCAAAGCACGTTGCTCAATGGTATCTCGGATCGCTACCGCACGACCCATCCTGTTTATGAGTACCTCACGAACCAAGACTGAATCCAAACCAGGAAACTGAATCAAGGTGACCTCCGATCCGTGACTTCACATGTCACACTTTCGCGGCTTCATGGTTACATGTCATGAAACTATAAAGTCTTCGTAGGGTAAGACAAAGCATACCTACATTAAGTAGGTCGCCAAATGGTTGGTTCAAGGATTTGCGATAGCCCGTTCCGATGCAGTTTGGCCATGGCTATAGCATACAGGTAAATTGATACATAAGGATAGGATATATAATTTCCAAGTGCAATATCAAACAGGTGTTTTAGATAGTTGCTGCGATCTGCGCGCGGTGGGTAGGGTAAGTCCAGATCGCAGGTTAATTGACAATTAAGCCGGCGTTTCCAATGTAATGGATCTCATGCTGCAGGTAGGCCTGAGGCGCGATGCGTTAACGGTGCGGTTGACACGTACCGATGGCGGGTGTAATGGCCAGGAGCACGGCGCAGACGGCGATCATGGTGCGACCCGGTCCGCGGGGGAGGCAGACGTCTCCATCAGCCGCACCGGTCCCGCATCTGTGGGGCACATCGACAATAACCAGCCAGACACAAGGCGCATCGTACACACATGCAGCGAGGGTGCGTTACTGGCACCTAACCCGGCGCGTAGGGGACCCGTTGTGCCAATCGTCCGTCCCTATCCTGCACAAGACACCTGTACTCCTCAGAGCACACAGCTGCAGTTGTCTGGCCAGCCACACGTTGCTGACCGGTTCTGTGCTCTACAGAGCACACAGCCGCAGTTGTCTGATCAGTCACGCGTTACTGACCGCTTGAATACCATCGGGAACACTCTAGTGCAAAGCTTCACTTCTTTCTAAGATGTTATCTGTTTCAATGACTATGACGACATCGATAATCAATGCTTGCTCTTTTTGTGGTGGGTACGGCATTTTCCACGATGTAATCGCCTCTATCTTCCGGTGCTGCTTAAAACATAACACTTAAGTCAAAGTTGAGTCCCAACGTGGCTGAGGTACAAATGCAGCATACTTTCCCTTCCGACCATGGCTGCATTCGACGTTGCATTTCTACTTACATTCACTTTATTCGTTCTGTTGCTCGCCTAGCTCATCTCCAACGGAGTTCTTTCTTTTTCCCACCTCTCCCGCCTCTTCTTGATCCTTTGGTATGTAGGTATTTGCCGCATTTATGAGTAGGTACAGTGCAGCAGGTGCATCCTCGTCTTTGTTTTTTCATCTGGCGTTATTGACATTGTTCCCTCTCCTTTGTTTTAGTTTTTGTTTACTTTTTCTCTTGCAGTTCATGCTCGGTGTTTATTTTTTCGTTGTACCTGCCGCTTAGTATATATGCAACATCATGCCTGCTCTTGCGCACCCCCATGCGTTTTGTTGCCCGCATCAACTGTGACGTCTTTACATAGGGTGCGGTTCTCTGGGATAATTCTGTCTGATTTATGTAACTGTCATGACGATTGTATCCTTCGTGAGCTCGTTGTTCATACAATTCGGTATCGATTGCAACTGTTTTACGTCAACATTTCCCTCAGCAGTCGCGTTTCTTTATTTTTCACCTCGACGTTTTTAACACTACCACCATCCCCGCATTTTAGACTGCTGAGGAGGCTACCATGTCACTCTGGTTGTCTCCTTGATTTTTCAGTGTTTGCATTTGGCTGCAAATACTGCCGCCTACGTGATCACCATATATGAAGAGCAGGACCCCGAGTATGGGCACCAGCAGAGCCGCAGCAACGGCAATATATTTCTCAAATATGTTGTCGGACTGGTATCGCAACTGCTGCTGGTTGTCATTATCATTAAAAGATATGATACATCATGCCGATGGGCTTTCTTACGTCGCAACTGATCGCACCTTGTGGGTCTATCAGTTTGACCGGAGCAAGGCGTCATAATACACGGCAGCAGTCATCAGTGGTAACCCATCAATATCTGTAGTGACACGAGCATCCTAGCAACGAACGCAGTAGTCAGTACACTAGGGAGCAGTCAGTCAGTCGACATCACATGCGTTTTGCAAAAAACTGCATTAGCTATGGTGTGAACGGATCTGCAATTAAGCCTCAGGGATTTCTAGAATGTAAGTCGAAAGCTCAAATGCTTATTTGACACCTCATAATGACTGATATCTTCGTTTTGTCCAGCATCTCCTGACAGGACCAATGGCAAGGATTTTCCGTTGGGACAGGCTTTTACAGGGCTTTCCTGGATAAAATGAAGCCTCCTGAAAAGGGGGGGGGGGCTTCCTGGGCAGCGTCGTACTCAAGGGAAAGAGACGATGAGGGCATGAGCCCTCTTATTGAATTACTGCATGCATCATTGCTAATAAAACCGAAGTTGACAACTCAAAGATCCGGTATGGTGAATAAGATGTGGTACTGCTGTCGGCTGGCTGACCATCTGATTATCCAGCAGAGGGTTTCGCTTTCTAAAGCAGGGCCACCTGTGCCAAACAGGGTCTGATGATGCGAAGCGGAGCCTCCTAATCCAGAACAAGACGCTTCCGATTCAGAAAAGGGGCCAAATCTAGCTAGGAAGCCTCGTTTTCCCAAAACAGGTCATCCTGATCGGGAACCGCGGCCATCTGACGCATGAAATGCATTTCAAAAATGGGGCCTCCTGTCCGTTTCAAAAATGGGGTCTCCTGAACATAGAAGGTGACTCCTGACCCAGAACAGGGGGCTCCTAGTTTCGAACAGGGACCCCTCGAGCGGGCAAAGTAACCTTAACATAACATTGGTCCTGCTTATATATTGCTGATTTACGGGCAGCTACAGTATCTTTAAGTTTGGAAAAAGGGACCTCAAAAAAGTTGGAAGGGCCGAGCACCTGCTCTTGCCTCCCCATGCCTACCGGTAGGGGGGGGGCAACTTCTCGTTCTGCCCCCCCCCCAGCCTCTTCTCCGCTTGGTTTAATGAAGGTGGGCTATTTCAGAGCAAAAGTAATTATGCAAACACATTTCTGTTAACCTGGAGCTACATCACATGGGAATTCTGGCATTTGGTTCAGTTCCATTACGTCGACCAGCTAGTGCCTTTCCGCACAACTCAAAGGGGTGTGGGTGACCGCCTCGACGGGTACGTAACGGGCGAGTTCGTCTCGCGGGCTGAGCAGTCGGCGGGCATTCCCTCACGCCGTCACCAATGGGCTACGGCGGCCGTCGCATGCGCCGCGACTGGCCGTGGTAACAGAGCAGCGAAGCGCTGACCCAGACCAAAGGCACGGCGGCCTGCTCGGCAGACGGGGCTAGGCTGAACGACCAGACGGTGCAGACGGGGCCAGGTGCTGAACGACCAGATGGTGCAGACGGGGCCAGGTGCTGAACGACCAGACGGTGCAGACGGGGCCAGGTGCTGAACGACCAGACGGTGCAGACGGTGCCAGGTGCAGGTGCTGAACGACCATCTGGTATCACGCTAGTGAAGTCTTTGGTTCTGCGCACGCCGGGGCACCTATCAGACCAGACCAGACCAGGCGGGCGTGGGCTGCATGTGATGTGTTTAGAAACACATTTGCTCCCGGTTGTAAAGGCGACAAGGGTAGTCAACCTTTATGGCAGTACTCTGGTAACACATAAGAAGACTTTGACTCAAGAGCATAACAATGACCCCTTTTGATACTTATACACATTTTCGAACAGCCCTGTACGCATAACAATGTATTCTCCGTTTCAGAATCGTGAAGGTGGTTATCTCTTCGCATTTTTTTAATTACCCGTTACTTTGCTCGTGACTTAAACCCACCATCAGAATGGGTGCCAGCCAGAACCCATTCTCAGAGAGGCGTAAAACGTTTAAAGCCTTCCCTTGAAAATGATCACTAAAACATAATACACTGATGGCCTCCGAAGCTGCATGCATTTTGTCCATAGTTGATTGAGCGTAATACCTAAATAAATAATAGAAATATTTATGTGTTAAATAACTAACGTAAACCTCAAGATGAAAGAGAGTGGGTGGTTGTCCGGCAAGGCTGCATGCACCTAGGGGTACAGCTGCCGGGATTGAGCCCGCACAGATCCCATAAGGGGTAATTGCTCAGCGCAGACGGGGCCACTATCAGGGAGCACTTAAGCCCACTCAAGGCTGGCGCATCTGGCTTGTCTTGCACAAACAGGACGCTTCGCGAGAATGTAGGACAAATCGAGAATCAGGAAAGGAAAGCTGATAAAAAGCCTACTACCTCCGTACTACCCACCTACTCGCAAGCCTACAACCCACGTACTCGCAGGCTTGAGCTTTGAGTCCGTACTACCCACCTACTCGCAAGCTTGAGCTTTGAGTCCGTACTACCCACCTACTCGCAATCTTGAGCTTTGAGTCCGGCCGCAACGCTAGGAACTAAAAAACGTCGTAATGAAAACACCACCACCGTGTTTCCGTGTTACGTGTTTCCAATAGCCCTAAGGGCAAATCTTGACGGATTCATAAAACAGAAAAGGGGTGAAAAGGCTGGCAAAAGGAAAGGCACAAAACCAATCTGAACAAGATGCCGAAGCATGTATGCCCATAATCGGGTTAATCGACGACAATGATCTTACTATCAGGCCACCGTTAACTTACATGGTCGTAGCAAAGGTCGCATGCGACTAAAAACACCTGGCCACCCTTCCATCCATCCCACCCACCCGCTGCACAGGACACGCTCCCACTCAGAAGAAAGTCAAATTTGTCTAATTATGTTGCGAATCCTAGTTTTGAACTGACGCTTGAAGCGCTGGATGGATCTTGAGTTATGACTTTCTCGGTCTACTGCTGCACCGCGCGATGCATATATCGTCTTTCTGCATGGTTGTTTTTCGCACAAGGTATGCTCGGATGGTATGGCTGCGGCGTTTCCTAGGCCACGCTCTACGATTGCACATCAGCGCAGAGCGTGTCACAACTGGCTTTTCAATGATCGGAGTGCTGTGCAGCACGTACAGGTCAAAGTAGGAAATACACTCATGTGCGGACAGCCAGCCTGAATGATTAATAGCATCCGATATGTGGTACCTTGTACCTTGTACCCGTACTACTTTGGCACGTGCTCACTGCATCTGTGCGTCCATGGGTGTAGGAACAGGGGGGGGGGGGCAAGGAGGCCTGGCTTCCCCACTTTTCAAGGTGGGTGGGGGGCAGCAATGTTAACTACCCCCCCCCCCCCCCCCTCCACGTACACACACTTTCATATTAAGATTGTGTTGAGCTACTTGTGCACAACATTAAACATGCATGCCGATTTGCCTAGTTCACCAGCCCATTTTGCTGAAGATGTGTCATCTGTTTCGTTTGCCTATCGACCATCGCCTAGCATCACAGCCGCAGGACCGACGCCCGCTCGGCCTGTGGAGACTGCATCACCGTCTGTTTTCCTGGACAGATAAATAGCTACGGAAACACGGAAAGTAGAGATTCTACCTTAACTCTTGCAGTTCCACCACCAGATTCCAGCATCACTTCGTGGCGCTTTAAGGACCAATCCGTTCGTATCATCAGTCTAAAAATCGCAGGACGTTAAAGATGTGCCCAGACTGCCTTCTAAATGTAAGATTTG